TTCGACTCTTCAAAACGAGCTTCTAGGAATTTCAAGAAGCGCTTCTAGGAAGCTTATTTTGGAAGCTCCATTTTGGAGCTTCTAGAAGCTCGTTTTGGATCTACATTCATGCTTACATAGAACTCTTACACCACCATAATATGTCTGCACATGTGTATTTTTGTGTATATAAAAACACACATATACGTGCATTTAAAGGCATCATTCCGATTGCAGCCATCCTTTCTGCAGCAGCCTGCAAAGGCAGAATTCCGACTGCATGCTCTTTCGTACAGGCTCAGCAGCAGCAAGCAGCAGGGAGACAGCACTGCACAAGCTAGCTAGCAGACACACAGACACACAGACACACAGAGACACACAGAGACACACACACAGACAGACAGACAGACAGACAGACAGACAGACAGACTGACTGACAGACAGACAGACAGACAGACAGACAGCAGCAGAAGAAGACAGCTAGCAGACAGCACTATAGTAGCTAGCGAGCTTGTAGAAAGCAGGGCAAACTTGAAACCCCCAGCACCCTATAAGCTTAGGTACTCTAGGAGCGACCTCTGGCGAAGCTCCCGTAGAAACCTAAGAACCCTAATTCTTCTCGCAACCTTGGAACCCTTTAAGTCTCTGAAGACAAACCCTAAACCCTAAAACCGAAACCCTAAATTTAACCGAAGCCTCTGTCGCCATATGGTGGTCAGCCTCAGTAAGGCCTAAGCCTGCACAAGGCAGTGAGTGCCTCGCGGATCCGCTGCAGCTCTAGCAAGTAGCAAAACAGCCTGAGTAAGGCGGGAAGCCTTTTCACAAGGCTAACAGTATCTATAGGAAAACGGCAGCCTGAAGAAGGCAGTGCCATGGCAGCTAGCGATAGCGAGAAGGCACGAGCAGTTTTGAAAGGTTTCTTCCAGAGCCAGCCTGGAAAGGCGGACTGGCCGGCAGATCCGGAGGAAGCTTGCATAAAGCATGCGAGTTTCTTGAAGCTCTGGTGGCAGATGGCCTTAAGTAGCCAAAGTCCCGGGAAGCCTGGAAAGGCGCTTTTCCGAAGATGTCGCCGGGGGACATGAATGCGATGATCTCTGGAGTGGCGGAAGCCAGAAAATGGCTGGGTCGCAAGCAGCGAAACCTTAAAACCGGGGACAGAACTCATCCGATCATTCGAGATCTGATGAAGTCCCTGGAAGCCAGCAATGGCAGCAGTCCGAAAGGACAGGGCCGAAGGAGCACCAGTCCGAAAGCAACAGCAGTCCGAAAGGACCGGAGTCGCAAGAGCAGTCGCAAGGCAGCCTGCCATGGCGGTGTCCGATTCTGCTGGCAGAAGAGGAAGAGCCAGCAATGGCGGTGGATGTGGAAATCGTGAGTGTGACCAGCACGGCGGTTACTGCATCCAGCAAAGGTGTGGTGCCGGCCCAGGTCTTGGTCAAGAAGAAGCCAGCGATGGCGACGAAGGCTGCAGAAGCCAAAGAGCCTGCACAAGGCCGAAACAAAGTGGTGAAGAGACCTGACAGCCTGAAGAAGGTCTGGCGCGAGACTTTGAGCCATGGGCTGGTGAAAATCACGAAAGCTGCCGAGAAGGCTTACATCGTGTTCAAAGCCAGCGACGGCAAAGAGAAGTCGCTCGTGAATGTGCATGTCAAAAAGGGAGAACGGCAAGCCAGAATCATGGCAATCCTCTTGGAAAAGCTGCAGACCGAAGAGGTCGACAAGGAAACTCTTGTCAAGTTCAAGAACTGGCTGCTGAGCCGCGAGAGCGAGGGGGAAGGAGAGCCTGCAAAGGCAGAGGAAGCAGAGGAGTGACAACGAGAGCCTGCGAAGCAAAAAAAAGTTGTGAGCAGTCCCTAAACCCTAAAACCCTAAACCCGCGAGCCTGGTTGCATGCAGGCCTCCGTTTTCTTGCAGCCTGCAAAGGCAGAATCCTTTTTCTTGCAGCCTGCAAAGGCAGAACCCTTTTTTTCTTGCAGCCTGCAAAGGCAGAATTCCGTGTGTTTGTCGTTTAGGCTCAGCAGCTAAGCAGCAGCAAGACAGCACTGCAACAGCTAGCTAGCACACACACACAGACAGACAGACAGACAGACAGACAGACAGACAGACGACAGCAAGCAAACAGCAGTAGGACGGAAGTAGCTGGAGCTTGTAGAAAGCAGAGTCCTCAAACCTTGGAAGCTTGTAGAAAGCAGGAGCTTGTAGAAAGCAGGGCAAACCTAGAAGCTTAGGTAGTGTAGGAGCGACGCCTCTGGTCGGAGCTCCAGTAAACCCTAAACCCTGAACCTTAGACCCTAAACCCCTAGCTCAAGAACCCTAAACCCTACACCCTAAACCGTAAACCCTGGAGCCCTACACCCTAAACCCTAGAGCTAGGAGCTAAGCGCCTAAACCCTGGAGCCCTACGCCCTAAACCCTAAACCCTAAGCGAAGCCAAGCCCACCGTGGCTGTAGGGCGTGCGGAATGGCCCGTTGGAGTCGGCGTTCCTTCAGCTGCATGATCGTCTGACGGTCCTCGTCGCCCCAGGCCAAAAGGCACGGGCCGAAACGCTCTGAGTCGACCGCCGCCTGCTGCAAGGCCTGCCTGACGTCGACGACCTCCCATCCTCGCTCACGAACCAACTCTGAGAACTCTGCATCCGTGCATCTCGTCAGAAAGTCCGCGTGGATGTTGTGGTAGGTCCGCCACCAAGCGGGTAGCAGGCTGAAGCGAAACCTCATCTCAAGCAGGTTCCTCCCGGACTATCTTGTTGTCACCCCCGTACAGCACCACTCTGCCGCTCCATCGAGGCCCCACATGGCAAGCGAACGCCAGGAGGGACAACATCTCCGCCACATGGATGGCAATCTCATCCCCCTCCTGACATCGCTGGACCCAAGCGGCAGCACTGGCCGCAGACATGCGCAGAGCCACACCATTGGTCCAGTCGATCGCCGCGATCTTGACTTTTGTAGCATCTGATGACACGAAGATGGTCCCGGCATCCCACTCACCAGCAAGGGCTAACCGCTCCCGGGGGGGCAACAACTCCTTCATGCCCGCGCCAAACTTCGTGGGCCAGGTCTCTGGTCGAGTGCAAAGCCACCGCACCTCCTCAAAGAGCTCCCATAGATCGCGCCAAGCGTTGTCCTCCTCCTCGGCATCGTCGTGCACGGCCAGCTTCGGCCGCACCCTGGCACCTCCTTCACTCTCCGTGCCCAGAAACCGGTCCGCGGCCTTGAGTTCGTTCTTGAGGCCGCGCACGATGACCGTCCATCCCGTGGTGATTCCTCGGAAGCGCTGAAGCGTTCAGACCGTGATGTCCTTGGAGCCATACTCGAAAGCCGCCTCGCACAACAGGTTGGCCCCTTTGAGGAGCGCCGCTCGGGAAGGTGGATCTCCTCAGTGGCCGTGTCCATGTCCAGGCCCCAGACCGTCTGGAAAGTGCGGAAAGGGCCTTCCACAAGGTCCTTTTCCCTGTTCACCGCGGCTTCGCCCAGCATAAGCTTCACACCGGCCTCGTAGACCTCGCCGGCGACCCACGGCCGCAGGCCTATCCACGGCTCCACCAGCACATTGTCATCAACCAGAACACGGCTCTCGAAGCCCCAGCTGAGATCTCTCCGCGGACAAACTGGGTGATGACTCCGTAGGAACTCCTCCGTGGCCTTTCCCCACACAGTCCACTTACGAGGTAGACGACGGTCATCTCGACACCCTCGCTTTCCCGGACACCAGGCTCCACTTCCTCTGGAACCCAGGGCAGGTCCCCGGCAAACAAATCAGCGTCCCTTGGGTCCACCCATAGCAGCCGGAACGCCCCCGCCACGTCCTTCTTGCTCATGAGAATCTCAGTGCCCGGCAAATGGGCCTTGGCCCGCAGCACAAGGCGTGCGATCTGTTCGTGCCGAGGTTGGACTGCAGGTGGATGCCATTCCTTGTCGGTGCCGCCGTTGATGACTCTCTGGTCGTGCACGATTCTCTTGTCTGGGGCGACCGAACGGTCTGGAAGCATCTTGTCCACAGCATCGAAGGGGCTCGAGATGACCGGGCCCAACTCCTCCATGGCAGCCGGGACGACCAGAACCCGAAGCTGCTGACGTCTTGCAAGTGATTGAGCCCGGCCTCCTCCCGCACTTCCCACAAGCTTTCTGCCGCCAAACGAACCGAGCCCGCGTGCTTGACGAGGTCGCGTCCCTTCTCGCATAGCTCGGCCCAGGCCTCCGGCGTTCCCGGGCCCCCTTTCCTCGCGAGGTCGATGTAGTGCTTGGCCTTTGTCTTGGCCTGCTCCGACGGGGCGTGGTACTCCATGCTACCTGCACGCGTGAAGATGTCCTCCACGCCGTCCAACTCATCCAGCCAGCCAGAGTAGTGGCCCACATCCTTTGGGTTGCGCTCCAAGTGGTCGAGACCGCGGTGGGTGCCTCCGGCGCGAGTTTCCTCCTCCTGTGGCGCGCCATTCGCATGAATGCTACTGTCCTCTCCCCCCCCGGAACCAAAACCTGTTGCAGGGTCGACACCACCACACGCGTAAACTCCGGGCAGTAGCGGCCAGCCTCGGCACAGCGGGACAGTGAGGAGCCCTTCCGGTTGCCGCGAAGAGGTACATGACGATGAGAGCCGCACCGACGCCAGGACACCGGCGCGAGAGCGCCGCTGCAAGCGTGTCACAACGGGATCTCGAAGGGGTTGCGCTCCGGCCTTAATGCACCCGACGATGGCTGCCGCCGCAAGGTTGCTGTCACGTCGGAGTGAACACACCACATCGCCGGCTTTGCGGCCCTTGCAAAGACGACAGCACACTGCACCGGAAGCGGTCGGCTCCTGGTGGAGACGAGAGTGCCAGAAGCAAAGGAAACCCAAAGCTGGGGTGTCGTAGGGCTGCCACCGGTCCAAGAACGTGCTCGCGTTTAGGGACTCCGGGGGCCCGAGGTAGACCATATGACCACGCCAAATAAGCGTCCACAAAGTCCACCCATTAGGCTGCCACAGGGGTCCGGTCACTGTCTCCACCACCACGTCGCCCTTGTAGTCAGCCCGGATCACGATCAACTTGCAGTCCTAGCTCCTGCAACGGGAACACCTCCAACGACCGAAAGTCCTTGTCGTGACTGGCCCTGACAATGTCGTGGGAAAAGACACGGATCTCGGCCTCAATCGGTGCGACTCTCGGCGCCGGCTCGCCCATCATCATGCTCTGTGCCTCCAAAGCCTGACGCGTCTGCTCCAGGCGCAAGCAAAGCGACTTCTCGTCGACCTCGGCAATGGTGGGCCTCCTCGCCAAGCACCTCCAGACTACACCGGCCGCGACTGCTTTCGTCACGCACTGGCGTCGCTCCACGCCCTCCTCCGGTTGACGAAGCATTGCTGCCAACTCATCCGACATGAGGACTTCTTCCTTGTAGTCCCAAACCGTCCAGGTGGCACCCTCGATGACCGCCGTGCCACGCCCCGGTTGGCCAGGCTCCCAAACGATGTCTGAGACCACCATGCCCCCCACGGAGCCTGCCCTGTGCTCGCACTTAGCTTCCAGGATGCGCGAAGCCTCCGCCGCCAGGTCCCCCAAGCCGTAGGTGGCCATGTCGCCCAGGATCTCCGCCAAGCTGGCCTATGGGGCCTGTGCCACCCGGGAGGCTGCCCACGCAAACAAGTCATCCGACGCCTCTTGCAGGTGACCCAGAACTGGGCATGCCTTCTGCCTTTGCGACGAGGTCCTTTGCTTGCTGGGGCGCTGAATCAACCCTTGGCGGCTTCCAGGACGTTTTGCGGGTTGTCGACAGTCTCCAACCAGCAAGCATCGGGACCCTTCAGAGCCTCTCGGAGCTCCTCTTCCGCGGTTGTGAAGTCCACGATGCCGAACTCCGCGGGGATCTCGGTGGGCACGACCGCCTCACCACCTGCACGAGTACTTGCGGGCTTATCCTCCACCTCCGTGGCCTGCCCTGACTTCCGACCCTCCAGCTTGCTGGCCCGGTCCTTCGCCACCCCGGCTCGCAACGCCTTGATCTTCTCCGCGACACTCTCCCGGGTCTCGCACTTCATGCGCCGAAGTCCTCCGCGCCGAAGCAACTGCATCTGCACACACGGCTCCAACGTCTCAAACTTCCCCTGCAAGTCCGCATGGGATCGCTGGCAGGACGGATTGTTGCAGCCCATGTGCGTGAGAGCTCCCCAGCACAACAGTACGCCGTCCTTGTCGAGGGGCGCGCGCTCCTTGGCCCGATTGACCTCCTCTGGCGTAAGCTTCGGGCCCCAAAGGTTTCGAAAATTTGGCTTCGCTGCCGGGTCGGTCCTCGCATCACCCCCGGCGTGGGCTGAGCCTGTGGGCTTGCCACCGCGACCACCTTCGCAGGTGAGGCGCCACAGCATGCGCTCCTGGCGTCGTTCGATCCGAGGGAGCACCTCTGACGAGAACCAACCGTCGGGCCTGCGAAGGTCAAAGGTCCTCGGGAGCTCCAGCCATGCAGTACCGCTCGAGTTGGGCAGCAACGCATGAAACTTCAAGTCTTGCAACGACATCGTGTCCCGGCCCGCCTCCTTCTTCAGCAGCCTCAGGGTCTCTTTGAGCTCCTCAAAGAAGCGCCAATGCAACTCCTCCCACACCTCCATGATGACAGTAAGGGGCCACTTGTGAGGCTCTCCCTGATGCCACTCCAGAAGGAGCTCCAACGCGTGGCCACGGACCGGCTTCCACTCCGCCCCATAGACTAAAGACCAAACATCGTTCTGTCGACGAACTCGCCCTTCCCAATCTTCCAGCCTCGTAGGGGGCGGGGGCCTTTGGTCGTTGCCCGTCTTGTTCGCGCGGATCTCCATCACGTAGGCGTCCAGCTCTGCATCGGTCTGCGGGACAAAGTCTGCGGCCCTGCTCTCCTGCACCGACGACGACATGGTACTGGTTGCGGTCCTGTTGAGCCGCTTCACCGCGCCGGGTGGAAGTGCTGCGCTCTCCGCGTGAGATTTCACCAGGGAAGCAATCTGGGCCGACTGGGACTGAATGGCCTTGGCGATGGACTCGAAAGAGGACGCTCCCTCAGCCGCGCCCGCCTTGCGATCCTCCATGCCATAGATGCCCGGGTTGCTGATCGGAAGAGCTGGTGGGGGTCCCGGCGGTGTAGCAGGCAGAGCCCGATCCGGAGAGTCCACCGTCTCCCATGAAGGCACCGAACTGCCGCGAGCCAAGCTGGATGGAGACGAGGTGCGGGTCGATGACTGCTGCCAGGCCCTCACGAACTTCGACAAGCCCCTCTGCCCCTTGGCCTGCTCATCCAGGGCCTGCTTCAGAAGCCCCTGAGTGATCTCCCTCAAAGACATGCCGCGCTCCACAGCCAAATTGGCTCGTACTCCTTCCTCAGTCAGTCCCATGTCCTTGCCCTCTGCGAACTGGTTGAAGAACTCCTCCAAAATGGAGAGCGGGTGTTCGCGCTGAGGAGAATCCAAGAGCCCAAGCTTGGCCAAGTTCTTCTGGATGCTGGATTTCGGGGTGCCGCCCGGGGACTTGTCCCTCGCCTTTTTCGCCGCCCCGACCTCGGTGCGAATCTCATCGAGGAGGCGCTTGATCTCTTTCGTGGGAGGATGCCCTCGGGGAGGAAGCTCTGGTTCTTCAGGATCGTCACCTTCACCTGGGTCCGACCTCGCGGGCGATCTCTTCCGAAATGAAGTTCTCCTCAAAACAGGATGGAAACGGCGTCGACGAAGACCCTCATCGTCCTCAACACCGGCATGCAAGCACCCAACCGCGAAGCACTGCTGAACCCGTCTCCTCCGCTCGTAGTCGAAGGCGTGCTGGGGGCACATTGCCATCTCGCCTGTCTCGTCCAGGCGGTCCTCCACCAACAGCGGGCACACGTTGGTCCCGCCAAGTTTGCAGGGTGCGCCAGCCAGCCGATGGTCTCCATCACGGTCGATCCACTCGACACGGTGAGCCCCGCATGGTTTCGTATCGGTCTCCGATTCAGACCCGAACTCTCGAGCCCGCTCCACCGGCCTCGTTGATGTGGACCACAGCCACGCCCACAAGGTTTTGCCAGCCTTGGTCGCCTCCAGCTCGGAGGTCTTGAGGTGGAACTTCTCCGCATCGAAGTCGCGAGCCACCGCGTACTCCTTGAAGTGCTGCCCCTCCTCGGAGCCAAGTGCCGGCAGAGATGGACCTTATCCACACCGCGGCAGGCATCTACCACACATGGGCTCCCTCGCAACGTGTCGGCCTCGATGGGAACGAAGAGCCTGGGGGAGCGTATGGTCTGGTTGTCTGCCCCGGTCTTGAACACAGCCACATGCCCTTCGCGCCGAACGAGGGCCCACTTGTCGACCCCTGCTATCGACTTAAAGAGCCTCAGATCCGCCGTCTCAGGAATCCGGCCTCTACCGGGCCCGATGAACTCAGCTTCTGCGGCCTCTGGGACACCCCCGGCCGCTCTCTGTGCCCAGTAGACTAATGTCCCAAGCTTGCGCACAAGGGCACGAATCACCCACACCAAGCCCATCACGCGAGCGATACGACAGGCCAACACAGGGCCCAAAGGTGCCCCGAGGCACAAGAGTAGCAGCAGTGACAGTCTGAAGAACCGTTGGCACCCTGTTCGAACGTTCGGCCAGGCACTACCAAACAGGGCCCAGCCAACAAAGCTCACCACGGTATCCAGAACCATGCAAAGACCACTTGTTCTGAAATTCTCTAGTCTCTTTCGGGCGGTTTGCTCCTTGTTCTCAAATTCTCTAGTCTCTGTTGAGCGGTTTGCTCCTTGTTCTGAAATTGTCTAGTCCCTTTCGAGCGGTTGGCTCCTCCTTCTGAAATTCTCTAGTCTCTTTCGAGCGGTTTGCTCCTTGTTCTGAAATTCTCTAGTCTCTTTCGAGCGGTTTGCTCCATCTGCTGAAATTCTAGTCTCTGTCGAGCGGTTTGCTCCTTCTGCTGAAATTCTCTAGTCTCTCTCGAGCGGTTTGCTCCTTGTTCGGAA